ATTGCTCATATATAATCATATATAAGTGATTAAAAATATACATATATAATTATATACGAACAATTTTTCTTTTCTTCAAACTTGATTTTTTGTAAAAAAAAAAACAATATAAAAATTATTTTTTAAATTATTTTTTATGTTTCCTTCTTTATTATCAATTTTGTATTAAAGAATAATTTTCGAAAGGAAAGAAATCTATATGGACATATTTTGCATATAATTATATGTAAAACTTTTTTTCCCGGGAGTGGAAAGAATTTATTAATAAATTTCTGTTTCTGAAAAGTTTGACCAGATTTTAAGAATGTATTTCATTATCATTAACCTTTAAAATCATGTATTTCATTATCATTAATCTGTAAAATCATGTATTTCATTATCATTAACCTTTAAATTAAAAGAGAGTTTATATGGTCTGAAATAATTTGCGTTCCAAAAATTTCAAACTTGTTAAAATAATTTATAACAATAAAATGGTCTCAGAGGTACATACATATTATATAAAAAAATAAAAAAAGTCATGTTATTCTTGATGCATATCAAATATTTTTATTCATTTGCATTAACTATTTTTAATTAAAAAAAAAAAAATTTTCGGAACTTTATTATCAAAATTTTGGCATTCTATATGTATGTACAACATATAACTTAAAACATACTTTTTTTACGCGGCCACGTAATAATATAAACTTTCTTTATTCATATATTAATATAAACTTCCTTTATTCATAACTGCATTCAAGAATTCACGAATTACATCGTTTTATCCTTGTCATTCATCAAATATTAACTAAAGACAAAACGATATCTATGCACCCAGGTGAAATTTCTGGAACGCAGCCCCACGCTTTTCTCCGTTTGCGAGCCCGCCAATCGCGCGCGCTCAACGGCGTGAAGTTGCGCGCGGTCGCCGCCGGAGCGAGTTGTTGACGCGCCGCGCGCACGCAAGGCGCAGGCAGGTTCACGCGAGTCGGATCGCGTCCGGTCGCAGGCGTGCGTGTGAATCCGGTGAATCACGCATCGCGCGTGTGGACTTGTAGAGTGCGGACTGGCGCGTAGGACTGGAGTAGGGCGGACGAAGTGCGGCGCGAGGAACCACCGCGTGTCCGTTTTTGCCAATGGTGGAACGAGACTGAGAACGAGGCAGGCAACAATCGTGCGGGAAGGATGCCGACAGCGATGCACGAGGGTGACCATGCTAGGGCGGCCGCCGCCGCCGCCGCCGCCGCCGTCGCCAACACCGTCGTCGACCATGCCGAGGAGCACAGGCTGCGCACCGGGACCGACAGCTTCCCGAGCATCAACGAGAGGCCGGTCGACGACATCTCCCTCGAGTTCTTCTACAAACCGCACACGATCACCCTGCTGCTCATCTCCATCGGCGCCGTTATATACTCGGTGTTCACCAGGTAGCCTCACCCGCGGCCCTTCAGTCCCTTCAGTTCCCCTCGCGGATTACGCGAATTATTATCTCGCATTTCTCTCGATCTTCTCCCTCGCGTTTTACCTTTATGCGACGTAAATACATACACACCATTCAATTAACGTACCACGTGACGCGAGTGGCTGGATTTTTCTGAGCGCAATTACATTTATATCCGTTACGAGCAGATTAGTATCTAATTTCGATAAGATAATTCTCTTATTCCGCTGAACTTGGCGACGATAGTATAGAATATGTATTATGCTTTCAATGATGCAACCCTTGTATGTTATTATATACAGGAGGATCGTGTTTTTCTTTTTATGCGCGAGAAAACGCCGGTAAAAAAGAAAAAAAAGTTTATTGTAATTTTCTCTGATTGTGAGATAAATTTTATAGATTTTTTCCATGATACAAATATATGCAAGTAATTCTATATAAATATTCTGTATAAACGATTGTAATCTGTCCTTGGCCTGTCTATTATAAGCCATTCATGCTTTTGTTTGACTTATATTATGTATTATGTAACATATCGTTGCACCATCAATTCTGCTTAATATTTTTATACTTTTGTTTATACAGCAGTTCTAATCATTGCCAGAGATTGAAATTGAGTTTGATTAGGCTTATATTATTAATTCCTATTTTTTAATGTAGCAGATATAGAAAAATATGTATCAATTATGTTTTTATCACGGCTGATAAAACGCAGGCAGGTGAACTTTGCAACTTGGATTACTCTAGTTTCGGTTACCGTTTATAATTCAATTGGCGAGAAAATTTATATAAATGTAATTCACAACAGTCGCACACTATTGTGTCACACTATTGCGTCGGAGTAAGTATGGTACGCGTTACGCATTTATTACTTATCTAAAAAAAAACATCTCTTTCAGAAATACCACCAATGTGGAGGACAACATGTGGGCGGGCATGTTGTGCGTCGTCTTCTTCTTCCTCATCGTATCTGTCTTGACATTCCCCAACGGTCCGTTCACGAGGCCCCATCCCGTGGTGTGGCGGATAGTATTCGGCTGCAGCGTCCTCTATCTGATGGGCCTGCTGTTTCTGCTGTTCCAAAATTACGAGACGGTCAGGAGGATCCTGGTGTGGGTGGATCCAGGCTTAGCTTCCTTCCACATCGACATGGACAAGGAGTACGGCGTCAACTGCTCGGACGTCACCGTGGAGAAGATCTGGAATCACCTGGACGTGTTCGCACTGGCCCACTTCCTCGGCTGGGCCTTCAAGGCCATTCTGATACGCCACCTCGGTATCCTCTGGGCCATCAGCATCATGTGGGAGGTGACGGAGATTGCCTTTGCTCATTTGTTGCCCAACTTTATCGAGTGCTGGTGGGACGCGTTGATTCTGGACGTTCTAGTGTGCAATGGACTTGGTATTTGGGTCGGCCTGAAGATTTGCTCCATATTGGAGATGAGGGAATACAAGTAAGAACTCGGTTTCAACCTTCAGATTTGAATATCTTTCAAATTTTATCTTTCGTAATAAAGAATTTACTTTTTTCATGCAGAAGAATTTCATTTCTTTTTTTGTAGAAAAATATTTTTGTTTTACAAAGGAGAAAGTCTTTTTCCTTCTTCTTAACGAAAAGCATTAAAGAGTACTGAATACTTTTACACTTGTCTCCTGAATACAGGTGGGTCAGCATTCGTGACATCGAGAGCACCACTGGGAAGCTGAAGAGAGCAATGTTGCAGTTTACTCCTGGCAGTTGGACATCTGTCAGATGGCTGGATCCAACTTGCACGCACATGCGACTGGTCGCTCTGTGCCAGCTAGTGATATTCTGGCAGGTCTCCGAGCTAAATACGTTCTTCTTGAAGCACGTCTACGAGTTTCCGCCATCCCATCCGTTCGTCGTGGCCAGATTAGTATTGATCGGCGTCATAGTCGCGCCGTCCGTTAGGTGAGCAGAAAGGGCACAATGAATGTGGCATTCAATGAAAATGAGATTAGCTGCCAGATCGTAGAAATTTTGAGCGCTTTAGAATTTTACATTTGAGTCATATGAATGTCATATTGAAATTTCGAAAATTACTTGAAGATGTTGTATTATTAAATATTATACAATTTGTGTGAATGAATAATATTGTTATATGATGCCATATTTTTTGAACAAGAGTATAATTGATACTTCAAGTTTCTAATCTAACTTTATCTTGCATATTACTAAATTTATCTATTTATTAGTATTTATTAGTATTAAGTATTTTAATAAGCATTTGTTGTCATAAACATGTTACAGGCAGTATTACATGTACGTGACTGATCCGACGTGTAGTCGAGTGGGAACTCAATGTTGGGTTTACGGAGCAATCATGGTGACAGAAGCTTTGCTGTGTATACGCCATGGCGCGGCCCTGTTTGAGCGCACTCAGGCTCTCAATATCCTCCTCTGGCTGCTATGCCAGTCTCTAGTCTCCGTTCTCTGCGTCTACGGCTGCGTTTTGTGGCATCAGTACTTTGAGGTAGGTACAAACGCGTGTTTCAGATTTTTAGATCCTCTTCTTTAAACCTCCGGAAGTAGGATTTTTAGGAAAAATATTATAGTATTTCTACCGATTTCATCGGAGAAAATAGGAAAGGAAACGAAAGATGATTGTATAATAATTTCAAATGGAAGTGTCGTATAAATTTCTCGTTTTTTTTTTGTTTCTTTCGGCGCAAACTTACATATACAGTGATTTCACGTGTCACCTAGATAAGCGTTGTTCGTCAATAGCTGATTGATTGTTGTAACTAACTCTTGTTGCTCCTTTCAAATGCATGGCGCTGATCACTGCAGACGGGAAAGAAAGCCACTATAAGACGGTCTGTCTCCCATTTGAACAAGTTTGACACGGATGTAAGCGGTATGTGTTAACGGATTGCGCATCGTACGATGTTGCGATCGCTTGGTGGTTTGCAACAATCTACTGAGTTTGCGACACTTGATTAATCATTTGTTGCCGATTGCGTTTGTCCTGTTACTTGCCACTGTCGATCATCCTGACATTTCGTGATTTGTTCATTGTATAATATATCCTAGCTCGGCTATTTTATTTTTATCGATGACTTGAATAATAAAAAATAACGATCAAATCATCCGGATAAATCACAGGATTATTTACGACGGCCAGATGTTTTTATCCTGAATTTCTGAAATTTAAGATTTCAAATCTTTGAATATTAGATTCCCGAATCTTGGATTCTTGCATTCTCGATTTCTTGAGTCGTGAAACACTCTAATTTTTAAATTTCTGAAAACTAAACCACTCTTTTATATTCTTAGTCTTTTCTTTAAATTCTAAAATATACATATTTCTTCAAAAATTAATCTTATGTGGATGACTTAAATATTTTTTTCCTTTTAATTATATTTTATCCCCATGTGTTATGTAATTCTGTTTTTCCCATTCTATGTCTATTATGTTTTCTAAATCGAAATAAATTCAAAAAATTTCTCATTCAAATGTCACAACTCAGTCGACATTGGAGCGAGTCCGATGTGTGCTATTACATACGATGTATCTGTACATTTCAGGGAATATGGCTCGTCGTACGAAATCCGTGGAAGAGTTGGATAAGAAGAAACTGTGAGAGAAAAAGTGAAGAGAACCGTTTGATGGTGAACTGTGGACACTAATTATACTTTCTAGTCGAATAGGGCAGTCGCGCGTAAGAGTGGGATGGATGATGACGCGTGTGTGCGATTGTTTTGATTGACGTGGTATGAGTGACCTCCAAAGCTGTTATTACTTTTGTTCCTCAGAGTGAATGGAGAGCGTTGTTATTACCGGAACCGCGGACGCTCCAATTTAGCGTACGGTCAAAGTTCGATGTGAATTCCGCGTAAGAGCTGTTTACCGATTGCGTATTCGTTCAGCAATTACGTTGTTCGCGCTCTATTTTCTCTCTAACGTTAGCTTATAATGTTAATTGTGACGTTACCTCGCAAACGACACGCTTGCGGCAACGTGTTCATCGCTTTTAAAACTTTTAAGACACACGTTTCTATTGTACGTGAAATGAGAATCTCTTTATACATTGAGGAATACAGAAGCAAAACGCATGTTTTCAATTTTTTTTTTTTTTTTTAATAGACTTTAGAGACAGCATCAATTGCGGATAAAACCGCGTGGCGAAACTGACGCTCGGTGTTTCCAATTTCGATTTCAAAACTGCATATCGAAGACGTTTATACGCGAACATCTCGCACGGATATAGACGAATCCGAGTTTTGTTTCCGTGTCCCGTTTCGAGTAGCCCGCTTCGCGGACGACTTCGCCCGGGCCGACCGGCTCGTCTGCTGGATCGCAACGTCCGCGGGTGTGCCCGTTCAGTTCGTATTTTCCGCGAACAATCCCTCCTCCTTCCCCCCTCCCCCCCCCCTCACTCCGGGAGCATCGCGGTCTCCTTGGTCTCTATGTACGGGAACACGCTGCAAACGTCGTTGGGCGCGATCTGCGAGCCGAGCGGGCAGTTCCACGCCTCGGCGAGGAGCTTGTCGTTCGACGCGGCGACGAACACGCGGATCCGGCTCGGCAGGTCCTCGCTCTCGTGCACGGAGACGTACGACGATGCGAGCGGCGTCTTCGTGCAACGCGTCTGCAACGAGAAGAGGGAGACGTTGATCATCTGGGACGACTCGGCGGACGGTTAAAAGTTTCGAGGAAACGACCGTGATCCTCGCGAATCCTCGGACTTCCGTTAGGCCTTGCGTGTAATTAACAAATATAATTAAATTATATTGGAACGATTCGACCGATCGATCAATTAGTTAAATTCCATTTCGGATCTCGGAGCGGATTTTCTAGTATTGTAGACGCATGGCTTCAGGTCCGCAGGATTCTCCGGGATGCCCCGCGGGCCGAGAGAGGGGTCACTCCCCCCCCTCCCCCTTCCCCCTAAACGAAACTGCTGTTAATGTAAAAACGAACTGTGAGAACAGTACCTGAGCGTAGGCGAGGTAGAATAATTGGTCGGTGCGGAGTTGTATCCACGGTAGTCTCTTCGCGTCCGACCTCGCGAGAGCCAAAGTATCATAGGCTAGTCTGAGTCCCATAATTTCAGACAACCGCTCGTTCAAGGTCAACCGCGGGATCTAGAAATATTTACACATGTCGACGTTTCGCGTCTGCGAACGATTCAATAAATCAAGCGATACGCAAGAAAAGCACCACGTTTATTAAATTTTATTGCACGGAATCTTTCTGAGAAAAAAAAATCCTCTCCCATTTTGTTATTTATCGTATCTTGCAACGAGGAAAAACTTATGCATTATGGGATTAAGCGTTTCTCGAGCAATGTAACTTACCCTAAAGGACACTGTTTGCTCAGTGAAGGGTAAAGTTATGTTCATAAGTCCTTGGTACAGGTTCTCCTTTTGGCAGTTGATGTAATCATCGAAATTAGTGTCTGTGAATACATTCTCGTACATCAGGGAATCCTGAGTATTCCTGGTTTGGTTCCAGTAGTGTATACCTGTTACAAAGAATGTTTCGGATAGCCAAAGAATTAAAAAAAAAAAAGAAAAACGTGATTCATATTAATTTAAGTCAATATTATGCAATAAGCTTCTATTTTAAAATATTTCAATATCGTGGTCCTTGTAATTTACATTAATTTATTTAAATAAAATCTCAATTTTCTATTTTTTTTAAATTTTAATATGAATACTATCGTTGCATAGTCTAAGAATGATAAGAAAGTTTTTTGAAAAATATTCGTAGTTATTAATGATTTATAAGACTTCTGGATATTTGTACGATTAGTACGTTGTAATTGTTTACCGTTTGTATCGAAATGATGGGCGATCTGATGAGCTATTAAATTCCCAAGCGTTGCCAGCAGAAGATAATTGAAAGATAATTCGTCGTTTATTAAGGACCAATCGATGATACCGTAAGGAATGACGATAAGATTTTGAGTGTAGATTACTCGAGCCTTCGACTGGAATGGTGTAGCGTAATACGTCCAACTGTTAATGTAATTTATAGATAATAAAAACTTAGAGAGAGTCCAAGAGTCGCATTTTCTAAGTCGAAGGGTTTAAAAAAATTGGAAATATAAAACTCCCGAAGTTAAACATAAAGATTTTGATTTAAAATTAAGCTTTATACGAGTCTCCTTGTGGCAATACAATAATTTAATGAAATATATGAATTTGTACAGTTTAAACATCGAAGATTTGAACCTATTTAAATTAGATTAATTAATTGATCGTGAATTAATTTGTCTTATTTACATTTGCTTTGGATCGCCAACTTGTCGTCTTAATTCGATGTACATTAGAACTCTGTATCTTTTTAGTAGAATCATCGAGTTTTCAAAGTAATTATCCGTCAGACGTTTCTGAAATTCGATTGTATCAATATATAGAGCGTAATTAAAATAACTAAGATACACGTGATCTTTAATTATATGTCAAACACAGGAAATAAATCCAGAATCTAAAGTAACAAAAAAATGTATAGTACATTAGTCCAAATGTGTAAATTTCATAAAAACACGTTATATTCATATAACGTTTGTTTCTTGTTTTTCACATTCTAGATTTTCATCTCCTATGAGTTGCCTTCAATATCGATTTATTTTCAATAAAATAATAGCGACGAAAAATATTTTACCTCTGATACATTATATACGCTATATAGCGAGTCTCTGTCTTTGAAATAGGAAGCAACAGGTAGTACGAGCTTCAGGCTGTTGATCTTTTTTAACAATTCTTCTCGTCCTTCCTTTTTCGCCCATAGCGCTTTTTGCGTTTTAATCGATAACACTTGTTTCAACTCGTCGAATGTCTTTTCCATCTATTAATATAATTTGTAAATTCAAAAAATTTGACATTTATTTACACTTCATATATTTTATTTATACTTGAAGTTCGCTTACCATTCTATTCATTTGTATTATTTCGTGATCGGTAAATGACGATATGTACAAACTGGACGCTTCCAGCTGTAAAAGATAGGTAGCCACGTGCAGACAATGATCCTTCACATTATCGTGTTTCGGCAAGACCAGCTGTAAAAAATCCATTTCAATAAAATTTCAATAAAATTAATGATAATTTTTGTCAATATAAAATGTAAAATTGTAAAAAATAATTCTGTTTATTAAATTATTTATAATATACTTTTATATTTATTTCATTTAAATTTATATATGTATTTTTATTTTATTACATTTGAAAGCGAAGTATCTTAACGTGTAATTTACCTCGTGATAAAGCTTGTGCGCGTATAATGCCATTATCGCATTGTTGAGACCTATACTATCCTTTTTAGCATATTCTTCTAGTTTGCGTAAACCTTCAGTCAATGCGGCATGGAAATAAACTTGAACACTCTCGTTAGTCATCATGCTCATATCTGTTAATGAGTGAATTAATAGCGCCCAATTTATCTGCGAAAAGTCGAAGTGAAAGCAATTAATTAAGCTGTTAATGCAATTCTATTCTAATTTCTTAGATTACAATTAAACATTTAATTTCACAATTTTTTTTTATTTACAGAGAAATCACTGAAATTCTCTGCGTTTTCACTTACGAGAGAGCCGCTGTTTTGCAACTCTTCCAAACTGACTTTGCTGTAATTGTTCATCAAATATGTTTCTCGTATTTCACTCTTGGACGGAAAATTCTGTGCAATCAATTAAGATAGCATTTTATTAATGAATTATATAGATTAGAATTATATTAGGATTATATTAGAAGCTATCCCTGATGAAAAAAATTTTCATATCATATTTTTTAGAATTTCTTATATTTTAAATTTATGAAGATTTTAAAAAACATATTTTAAATTTCTTTAAATTTTATATACTATCTTGTGAAATTATAGAACTAAAAATCTTAAAATCATATTTCAAAATTCACATAAGTATATATAAAGAATTCTAGGAAAGGTGTAGACTTTTTCAGCATTTCTGAAAAATATATCAACTTATAAAACATCTGAGAAATTTTATGTAAAAATAATAAAATTTATGTAGAAATTCAGGAAAATTATGTACAGAATTCTAAGAAAATTTTTCACTAGGAACGGCAGAGATTTAGTTACCGAAAAGTACTCTTGCATTAGAACGGAATCGATCACGTGAATAGTTTTTTCTATGTATTCGGATTGTACATTTTCATTATATTTCCATTCTAAGTAGCTGTCATTTAAATTCTTAAAAACATTAAGCTCAGTCAGCGCTTTCCTAATAGATCTCATAAATTCGCTCGTATCATTCTGTGAAAGAAGAATAATTATTTACTTAATTTTTACACATGTTTTTCTATTAATTCATTTTATTAACTGTTTAATCTATATTTTATAATTATCTATATTTCTTATCTACTTTTCTATTACGAATTTCAACAGAAATTTATTAACAAAAAAACATTAGCTAAATTAGAAAAATTAAGAAACTGTAAAAAAGATTTATAAAATCAAAAGCAAAATTGTTTTTTATTTCTTATTTCTCATTTCACTATTAATAAAATTCAATTTTTTAAATGTTCTTGTTAATAATTAATTTGCAATATGATAGTTTAATCGATTTATACCTTGCATTTTTTATAATTATTGTACAAAATTTCGAGATCCACGTGCTGTCCTTTCGTCTCGAACGTGTCCTTGAAGCACGGATCCTCCACGTATTCCGCTTTGAAAGGACTCTCATATGTCGTAGGACCTATCTTTAACGTGAAACTGTTCGGACGATATTCATCCAATTCTGGCACGACGTCAAATAAAAGAGCGCTGCGAAGTAATCCTAATTTATGATAATTTCAACGAATTTTTTTCAGAACTCACCTGTGATGTAATATTAATTGGGCGATTAAATTGGTGAAGCTTGCGTATTTATCAGGCCACGTGTCAGATATATAGAATTCTCCTACATTTTTTAATGCGTCATTTGCTGCAATAAAAATTGATCAACAACTGACAATGCTTATTCTTTATAATTTTATTATTTTTACATTCACGTGAATCTTTATCCAAAATTATTGACTATTTATTAGATATAAGCTTGATATCTTTAATTTACCCATTCTTATTCTTTCACTGAAATTCATATTTCTTTCGTATTGCACACAGCTGTCGTAATACGTCGCGAAAGTCGAATTCACGTTCGACTCGCGTTTCTCTTTTAACATCTGACCTAAAATTATTTGAAGCACAATTATAATAAAATGAGATATACATAAAAATATTCAATAATTATTTTCAATAGCTAGTTAATTTTTTTCTGGAAAAAAATAATGTTTCCTGACTTGTATATATCTAACAATGAAGTGATCGACTTAAAATTATTTAAAACAATTATCACGGAAAGAGATATGCAAAAATATTCAATAATTATTTTCAACTGCTAATCAAATTTTCTTTTAATTAATACTTTCCGATATGACTTGCATATATTTAATAATAATAATGAAGCTATTTGAACTATCAATAAGTGATTAATAATTTATTAGCGATTATCAAAATTTACTGGTGATTCGTTGGTAATTCCTAGCTCTCCGAACTAGATCTCCGTCTATCAGCTGTGGGTTTGCTTCAAAACCACCACAAGCGTACTCGTAGAAATCGTCGCAAGGATCGGCCGAGTGATTCATGTAGGACAGCATCCTGCTGGCAATCTGCTTGCAGTGTCCTGTCTCGCAAACGCTCGTGTTCTCGTTAGGAAGTGTGGTCCTTGCCGTGGTCGCAAGATTCGTCTCGTAATTTACTGGCAAGGTGCTGATTGTGTGATAAGAAACAGAAGTATTCGTGTTGATATAATTGTATATGGAAGATACGCTGTATTTCTCCATTCTATCAGAAGTCTCATTGTATTTTTCAGTAGTAGAACTCTTTATACTCTTTATACTCGTTTCATTCATTATGTCTTCAGTTTTCTGTAGAGTTAAATATTATTATAGACATTAATATAAATTTCACAGATTTGATAAAATCTATACAAAAGTTTAATTATCTATCTATCTATATAAAGGTCATATATTAAATATTAATTCCACAAAAATATTGATATAAAAAGTTAATGTATAATATAAAAATTAATTATAGCTATTTCTATGTTAAAAAAAATATAGAAATATATATATTAAAAGTATAACAAATTAAAATTATCTATATAAAAATTGATATTGAATATTAAAAGCAAAATTTCAATTTCAGTGTATTAAATTTATGTTACGTTTTTAACATTTGTAGAGAACTTCTCATCCATGAGTGGAGTATAATTTGTTGTGGCAGGGGAGGTCTCTCTCGTTTCGGTCTCATTAATTAACGTCGAATTGTACTCCGTGACTGTAGATTCCTCATAATTTAAGTGTTCCATCTCATCAATTAATTTTGAATTATACTGATCTGTGACTGTAGATTCCTCATAGTTTAAGTGTTTTGTTGTATAATTTTCAGTATCTCTATTTTCCTCAGGGTCTGATTGAGTTGAAGTAATAATATCACTCGTTACTTCGAATTGCGAATTCTCAGAATAATTATTTTTATCGGAGGAATATTTAGCACTTGTGCTTCCTGCAAGATCAGTCCGAAGATCCGGCGTTGTGGAAACTGTGACATTATCGACATCAATTCTTAATCTCTCATATTTTGCAGTAGAATTCTCCGTTAACAATGTTGGAGTTGCAACATTATTAGTCACGAATTCGACTTCTGATTTATCCAAGCTGGAATATCCACCAGTAGTATCGCTTGCAGATTCCTTAGCGGATTTTGAAGTCATAACGTCCTCCATAATATCGACAATTGTAGCGTGTTTCGCAGTGGTGCTAACGACTGGTCCATTTGATGATATTGAATCATTATCATCGGTCACAATGTCATGTGGCAATGTAGTCAAGCCGATGCTCTCTTCTGTAGATGTTACATTTTCTAGGATCTCCTTCGTGGTGTAGTCTTCTTCAGTATCTTCTTGAGAAGATACAGAAGCAGGCGACTTTACTTCCGTTACATTCATCTTACTTTTCAAGCGCTCGAAATGACGGGATCCTTTAACATTTTTCTTCAAAGGGGCTTCAGTAATGACACTGGTATCTTCTGTTGATCTGTTTTCCACAATGGATGTAATTACCGTTTTTGGGATTATCCGAGTTGTTAGAACTGTTTTGTCTATCGTTGATGTAACTGTCGTGATTGTCGCCTCCTTTGTGCGTTCTTGAGGATAATGCTATATTCAAGATACCCAATAAAATATTTTAAGGGTATAAGTAAGTTTATTAATAATAAATATAAAAATGTAATAATTATATATAATAAATTTAAAATGATGTTAAACATTTCAGAAAATATCTGATTAAATTTTTAAAGATATACATATTACTATTATTTTAGTTTTTCTTTGATAGAAATTTTTTGCTTAAAATGTTTGTGTCTCAAGATAATTGAATCAACATAATTAAGAAAATTACGCGTAAAATTTGTAACAGAAACAAGTTTGTAACGGCTTCTGTGAAATTTCTTTAGATTTATTAATAAATAAATCGCCTTTCCTAGTTTTGATATATTTTTCTTGTATATCTACAATTTGTCTACAATTATCCTCGACAGCATACCTGTGGTTCATGTTCGATATGTGAATCCTTGTATCCTCTTCGGTTCTGCATTTTCCAGGGTACGCAGGCGAGGATAAGGATGAGGCATATGAAGAAGAAGATGAGCAGGGCGATGAGGCAGCTTCTGTACGACTGATCCCGTTGAGCGGCCTCGCCTTGCTCCCGATTGTTAATCTCATACGTTTTGCGACACGGCATGATTCCTTTGACTCGGTTAACTAAGCAACTACATATAATTCGCAACGCGCAACTAAGAAAGCGTCGATTCTACATTATGCAGTAGCATATAAGACCGTTTGTACTTAATCTTCGAGAGACCGATTGCGGTTTCGCGCTGACCGCTTCCTTTCAAATATCGCAAGTATTATCACAAGATAGTAGCTTGCACAACAGAGTGATTGGATTGGTTTTGAGCTGGAGGTATAAACCCCACGATCTTTTTCATGCGAAAGAACACTTAGGCGCTACATATAAATATTAATTTGCGTTTAAGTGGATAAATTAATATGGACAGGATTACTTATAGAGTTTTAAAGTTGGAGGGAATGCCGCGATTAATTCGTGATTCGAGCGCTAGAGGAAAGACTTCAGGGATAGAGTTACAATACAAGCTTTGGCTATTTCATAAAATTGATATTTCTTTCTTAAAAGTTATTTTACATCTTTTGCATTTGTGACTTCTCGTCTTATTTTTTTAGAGATTTATCATATTTTATAACAAATAAATTAAAAAGATGTCAAATACTTCGTTACAGCTCTGATATCGTACATACGATCTTGTAATATCGTAATTAAAAAAATTCAGCGAACGAAAGTGTTCGAAAGGGTAGACTCGTTCCAATTACATCAGTTTATATCTACTAACTGTGCCTATACGAGACGGGTTCTTTCATAGAAGAATCAAAATCGGCGACACCGAAGTATCTTCGATGTGCGCGCAAATGTATACATATATATAAGTTACTTATATCAATAGAGCATTTATAATACAATTATCACAGATATGTAAACTACAAAATACCGTACGCGAGAATATAAAATGCAACTTGCGTCTTCGCCGCCGATGATCCCATTGCACATGCTACGACGATTCATTTACGTCCTAATTGATGTACAATTTAAATACGAATCAAAAATATATATATACGCGCGCGCGCGTGTGTGTATGCGTGTGTATGTATATGTATATATTGCAAAACTCTACTCGCTCGCGTGGGGCGAATAGAAATCCATGTTGCGCTTGAAATCGCTCTCGAAATCCATTACTGGCGAGTCGGATCGCTCGTTCAATTCACCGCCGGTCGACTCGACTTTCAAGACGGGAGGACCCTCCGTTTTTATGCTGGATTCCTCGTCGAAACTCTCAGATTTGAATGTTTCGGAGGCGATCTGCAATTGAGAGAATTTAATATGATCACAAGACACAAAGAAAAAGAAAAAAAAAGACGCAAGATTCAAGATTAAAGACAAAAATTGTAAGTAGAATAATTAGAAGCAGGAAGATTAAATTGCGATCAAAAAGTGAAAGCAGAAAGTAATACACTGAGAAGAGAGCGATCTAAGATGTGTTAATTACTTTTCTTTCCATCTCATCAGCCTTAAGCTTTTCTAATTTCTCCTTGTCGGCAAGCGGGATTGCAGTCTTTGATATTGTTTGTCTCTTTGGGGTGGGCTTCCTCGGCTTAAACGAACCGGACGCTTTTTTCGGTAGCTGCGAGCTCGTGTGCTTCTTGGTCTCGCTCGATTGCTCGCAATTGTGAGTAACCAGCTGCTCCTTGGTCTTAAAGGCCTGCCATGTAAGGATTTTAATAGTCAGCCGTCGAAGAACTATCCGATTAGAGTTTTTCGAGTGAATCGAGAATCGGGACTCACGTGGGAGCAGATGTCGCACTTAAGGCTGTGCTTGTTCATCTCGTGATGCTTGAGAGCTTGCGCCCGATGGAAGTTGCGATTGCAGTGGCTGCAACTGAACCGCTTGACATTGCTGTGCGTCAGCAGGTGCCGCTTGAGCTTGTCCGGCCGCGAGAACTCGCTCATACAGCCCAAGTAGTTGCGGAACGGGCACTTGAGCCTCTTCGTCAGATCGTGGATCAGCATGTGCCGGCCCAGTCGATCTTTCCGCTTGAATCTGGCTGGGCAATCCTGCATTTTCAAATATATAATATTAATCAATAAACAATATGTAGCCATATTTTAGTTTGTATAAATTGTCTATGCTGTTAAAAGAAAATATTCATATCTGAAGATTATAATTTGCAAAATAATCTATGTGCTTGATTGCGGAAATTGCTTGGCATTTTACTAAACATATTAAATTTTTTTTTTACGGTTTTTACTTCCACAAGATATATCCATTTTTTGAAAACACATGCCGAATATTATTAATGCAAAAGCCCTAATTATACTCATGTAGCTATATTTCAGTTTATATAAATTGTTTATATGCTGTTAAAAGGAAAAATTATCTATTTGCTTGATTGCGGAAATTGCTTGGCATTTTATTAAACATATTAAATGCGCGGTTTTTACTTCCACAAGATATATCCATTTTTTGAAAACATATGCCGAATATTATTAATGCAAAATCCCTAATTATACTCATGTAGCTATATTTCAGTTTATATAAATTGTTTACATGCTGTTGAAAGGAAATATATATCCATATCTAAAGATTATAATTTGCAATATAATCTATTTACTTGATTGCGGAAATTGTTTGGCATTTTATTAAACATATTAAATACGCGGTTTTTACTTCCACAAGATGTATCCATTTTTTGCAAACATATGCCGAATATTATTAATGCAAAATCCGTAATTTTATCATCATTGTAATTATTCTTATTTACCGGACACGTGAATGGTGTCTCCTCGCTGTGTATCAGCTTATGATTGGCCAGATACTGCTCGGTCTTGAACGCCTTGCCGCAATCCTCGCAGGCGAATCTCGCCGACGCCGAGTGGGTCTTGAGGTGGCGGCGCAGGAACCTTTCGATGAGGAAGCTCTTGCCGCAGTGCAGGCACGCGTAATTGTGCGTGGTGGTCTCCTTGTGGTGCTGCAGCGCCTCCAGATTCGAGAATGACGACTTGCAGGTCGAGCAGCAGTAATACTTCTCCGTGGTCTTCTGCTTCTGGACGGAGTGGACGTACTGATGGCGACCGAGGTCCGACAGGGTGCTGAACACCTCGCCGCACACGTGGCACCGGTATTCCGAGCACTTGTGGCTGCGCGTGTGCTCCAGGAACTCCTCCAGATCGGAGAACATCATGCTGCAGCTGCTCTGCACGCACTTGTACACCTTCAGCGCCAGATGCGAGACGATCAGGTGGCCTTTCAGAGCTTTGTACGAGTCAAACGTCTCCTTGCAGAACTGGCAATGGTACGTGCGATCGATGCTTCCGTCCGGAGGCGCCTAATAAAGTCGTTTCGGAAGAATATAATTAAAATGATGTATAAAAAGTAATGGTAACGAATGAAAATGAGAAATGTCGATATTATTGAGTGAAAAAATATATTCAAATTAAATTAAATTTTGCTCAATGTCCTTTGTGCCTTAAAAATATAAAATTATTGTAATATTTCAAACAATTGATTACAATACGGGCTATAAAATACAATATAAGGTTTTCTTTAGAATAACCTTATATTACAAAATAAAAATTTTTATTCTTGCAAAAATACATTTAAAAATTCAAAAGTAGTCTTAATATATGTATAATTAGTTTAATGACAAATTTCTTACCTCTGGTGGTAACGAATGAATGGCGGTGCCAGGCCATACTTTGTGCGAGGACATGTGCTTCTTCACGTTTGACTTCTGCGCGAATGCACGACCACACACCACGCACTGATAAGGCTTTTCTCCAGTGTGAGAACGTTCGTGCTGTTGCCAGTAGAATTTTTTCGCAAACTGCTTGTTGCAGTAACCGCATTTATACTGCAATGAAAGTAATCAGATGTATCTTAATATAAAAATGAAAAAGTTTATATTAATCTCTGTAATTTATATATTTTGTAGTATTAATTTATTAAAAAATTGCATTTCAGAAAATTATTTAAAGCAGATTTAGTTATATTTGTTATTATAATTAAAGCGTCTCATTAAAGATTTCATTATTTAATTTATAATTTAATAATTTAATTATTACGATTTCAAGAATTAATTAATTTCATAACATTTCAGGACATTTATTATAGTTTAATTTAAAATTCATAGAATCAAGTTTTACAATTTTTACTTTTTGTTTTAATTAGAAACGGAAAATCACGAACATAGTAATACCTTTAAGTTCTGCATTCGACTAATGCCATTTTCACCAAGTGAATTCTCCTGGAGGGATGTCTCGTTGTTCTCGAGAGAGGATTCGTTGTCCTCTAAAGGCGGCTCGTTGTCCGCCAGGGATGGCTCGTTGTCCGTCAACGAGGCGCTAAGATGCTCGGACTGGCTCGAGGCGTCCTCCTGCGAGCTGATGTCGTTTTGCAGTACCGTCGGTACCTCGCACGAGTCCTCCCTCGTCGCCTCGATGGCACCGAAAGCGTCCAGATTCTCCGTACTCAAGATGATCGGCACGCTGAACGTGGAGTCCGTCATGAAATAATTGGCGGCCTCCTGGTCCACGCTGCAACAATTGGATCACAGATTCAAAAAAGGATGACTGCATATTAAAGAACGAAAGATCGTTTATAGAAGCAAGGAACGATCTGTATATTCAAGGCGGTACAAAAATATTTAGTTCAAATTTAATAAATAATATTTTATAATTGCAATTATCAATGGCGACATATACCTAAATAGCATGTCTGTTTCTTCGAGAATAATAGGTTCTCCAAGCTGAAAGGTTTCCTGCGAATTGTACTGCGACTCATCTTGAACGACATCCTCCACGTGCATCACCTGACTCTCGTCGTTAGTTAAGAACTGAGTCAAGTCCACCGTTTGCTGCTGCGTCCTCTGGTGCGCCCTCTTATGGAGTACGAACATCTGGAGCGACGTAAACTGGCTCTTGCACTTGCCGCATTGGAATATATCTTCCTCATCCTGATCAATCGCTGGTGAAGATATGTTGGCGTTAGTTATTATAACGAATATGTAAGGTATAATTAGAAAATATTGTTACACATTAAATAGTTTTATAAGCAATATCTGTTATCGTAAATATAAAAATGTGTCCCTCTTTTCAAAACAATTAGCTAATATAGATCAAACAAAAAATGGAATATACGTTTTCCAATGCGATAAAAAAAATACTGTCAGAGCTATTTATTCAGAAAATCTACTTTCATAAGACATATACAGAGAAGTCAGTTCTATAAGAGAGCATAATTAAATATACTTCAAATTTGACGCTGTTAATATATTGAGAACACGGGCTGTGCTCCAAAAATCACTGCCAGCCAAAATCTATATCTATAGTTACATGTACTATATATATTTTCAGCACTGGCAATGAATTTTGGAACACAGGCTCAATCATTAAAATTTAAATTTGCAACTTACTTCAATTTGAGTGTCAAATTGGATTGTTGAAATAACAATCTTTTGGTAAGCGCAAAATTTGAATTGAATTTAAATCATATTTTAATTTTTTGTTAAAATATGTTTTAACAATTTTGACAAATTTTAACAGAGAGTTTTGTATTAAAACGTGTATTCTATCCCCTGCCTAATCTCTTGTTTAATTATCAAAAGATAATTACGTAAATTTATGTAAATGCAAATATTTGAAGCATATTTCAAAACAAAATAACATAATTACAATACACAAATATACACAGTAATTCGTACTTAATGCAAAAAAATGCTTCAAAAATAATCTATGTTCAAACCAAAATTATACAAACAGATTTGTTGAGGATTTAATTTTCCTCATTTAATAAACTTAAAAAAAATATTCAAAGCAGGGTTGTACTATATATTTCAAGATTACGTTTATATGGATAATTTACGTTATGTTGACACGAATTTCTTTTCTTTTTGTAGACAATGCAGCAATGTAAATTATTATAAATTGAAATACAATAGAGAATTATTATAATTAAATACAATAGAGAAAAAAGTAATTTTAAAATTGTTAATATGTATCCAATCGTGAACTAAATGAGGGGCAACTAAAATTGCAAAACAGAATATAATTTGACCATCTCTAACGAAAATTTGAAATTCATAGATTAATTGTTTACATAAATGATACGTTACACAGATTACATACTTTACATTTTATATCTGTAATGTAGATGTAATGTTATTTATATTTTATGGGTAAATCCTGATTCAAAGTGTTTGCTTTTCGCTGTAGCAGTTTTACTATAATATCTACATTTCTATCAATATAGATCAACTATAATCTTTAATTTACTCTTTATCTTTTTCTAAAAGTTAACTACAAACAGGCATAAGTCTTAAAACCATAATATATTTCTAACATCAGGTCACATCGAGACATGTTATATCTTACTGCACAAGAAGAGTACTTTTCGAATAGATCTCTTAATTTATTAAAACTCAGAAAGAAAAATCTAAATAACCCATGTTCATCACAGACATTCTCTTCTTGCTTTTGATTCCAGATTCACCCTTTGAAACATTAACACACAATATAGAATTCTGTACGCAATGAAAGAATATCATGTAATAAAAAAAATATGTTGCCTGATAATATCTATTCCTCGCGTATAAGAATAATATATACCTGACTGTTCGACTTCTGCTATCAAGGTTTGCGAGTCCAGCAGGGATTGCACAGAGGAGCCGTCCAGCGAGACATCTGTAAAATCATCAAATAATTAAACAAAATATTAGCTACGTGCGCCTCGAGATCATGAAACAGGATATTCCAAAAGCACAAAGCGCAGACTGTTACATAAAATAAAATGCATCTAGAGAATCAAGGATTAGGTCAGTGGCGCCTATATATTTTCTATATACCCTTCAAACCTCAAAGATCCGCACTCTCTACGACGAGACCCCATTACCTTCGCTCACTATTGCAATATACATCACTGATTTCAACACTGCAGCAAGTTAGCAAAGTATTGGCCAAGTGAGCTCAAATAGATTCCAGTGTTCAGATTTACTAAACGATTCTGTTGTTTGGGTCAATATGAAAGATATAGCTCTGAAAGATATAAAAGGGATCTAAATGGAGAAGAAATAAAAATTTTTCACAGAAAAAAGAAAACCTTACATTAACAGACAAATCGTCAAATACGGAGGAAAGTCTTTAAATAAAATATCAGTAAGAAATATCAAATGCTACATTTTGTTCAAATAGACCCCAATGGAACAGCACAGAATTAAAAGACCACTCAAATAGATTCCAGTGTTCAGATTAACTAAACGATTCTATTGTTTGGGTCAATATGAAAGATACAGCTCTAAAAGAGTCTAAATGGAGAATAAGAAATAAAAATTTTTCACAGAAAAAAGAAAACCTTGCATTGACAGACAAATCGTCAAATATGGAGGAAAGTCTTTAAATAAAATATCAGTGAGAAATATCAAACGCTACATTTTGTTCAAATAGATCCCAATGGAACAGCGCAGGGTTAAAAGACCACTCAAATAGATTCCAGTATTCAGATTTACTAAACGATTCTATTGTTTGGGTCAATATGAAAGATACAGCTCCAAAAGAGTCTAAATAGAGAATAAGAAATAAAAATTTTTCACAGAAAAAAGAAAACCTTGCATTGACAGACAAATCATCAAATACGGAGGAAAGTCTTTAAATAAAATATCAGTGAGAAATATCAAATGCTACATTTTGTTCAAATAGACCCCAACGGAACAGCGCAGGATTAAAAAGACCACTCAAATAGATTCCAGTGTTCAGATTTACTAAACGATTCTATTGTTTGGGTCAATATGAAAGACAGCTCCAAAAGGGTCTAAATGGAGAATAAGAAATAAAAATTTTTCACAGAAAAAAGAAAACCTTGCATTGACAGACAAATCATCAAATACGGAGGAAAGTCTTTAAATAAAATATCAGTGAGAAATATCAAATGCTACATTTTGTTCAAATAGACCCCAACGGAACAGCGCAGGGTTAAAAGACCACGGAGGAGAGTCCGCACACACGCACTCCGCTCGGTGCGGACCGAGCACATCGCGAAACACTGTCGCGCGATTGCGAGACGAGTCGGGAAGGAGACGACGACCACCACCGGTGTCCCCGGTGCCGACGCAGGCGGGACGACGCGGCACCGCGCGGGTTGTTGACGTTTCCGGGATCGGTGGCAACCCCGCCTATCTCTCCCGCTGCGGACACGGACAGCGCGGTCTCTCTCACCTGTCAGTGCGTCGAGGATAGACTGCGCCATGTTTCGCGATCAGCACACGGTCATCGTCAGCGGAGGCGGACTCGCAGCACCCGGGAGCGCTCCCCCTTAGCTCGCGCGGCGACTCGGCGGGACCCGCCGGGACCGTGACACGACGAGCATCATCACCATCATCGCCACCACACCATCACCACCACCACCGCCGCCGCCGCTCTCGCGTCCCCGTCGCTGCTGCTGCTGCCGATGTGACGGCGCCAGCGCACTGATCGATACCTAACCTCAAAGCGCCGCGACATCGCGGCGGCGCCGCCGCGGGACGCTGCTGCTGCGCCCAGCCGCCCGCGAAAAGTCCGCGAACGCTGCCTGCCGCAACGCGGGTGGCCGTCGGCGCCCCGAGGATGATCGCCGTCGGTCGCCGGATGATCGCAACCGCCCGTTTGGGGTGTACGCGACTCTCGCGAACGCAAAGCCAAGCGAACAAACAGCTACCTGTTGAATTATATAATTTACAAATTACATCTAATAAACGTAATTCTCTTTCACCTCGCGAATAGAAACTTAGGAAATTTATTTGAGTGCGATCGAGACGGACGAGACGGCAGACGCGAACGCAAAGGCGACGATTTTTGTGTCGTTTACACGCTCGCTAGGGAATTTCCAGTCCGGGTTCGCGGAAAGCCGTGCTGATAGTAAAACGTGGAGTTACATAATATTGATATAAATATTGTAAACATTACATCACGTTACATGATTAAAATCAGGGTTGGGTAGTGGCTAGTTCAAAAGATAAAAGTTAAGTTAAAAATTTAAAAAGTTAAATAATTTTAACTTAACTTACAGTTACATTTTGAAAAAGTTCCACATATAATTATATATATTATATAATTATATGCAAAATATGTCTATATGTTTCTTTCCTTTGGAAAATTATTCCTTAATACAAAATTGATAGTCATAAGAAGGAAACATAAAAAAAATAATTAACAGAATAATTTTTACATTGTTTTTTTTTACAAAAAATCAAGTTTGAAGAAATGAGGAAAATTGCAGCTATATAATCATATATAAGTGATTAAAAATGTGTACATATATAATTATATATGAATAATGTTTCTCATTTCTTCAAACTTGATTTTTTGTAAAAAAAAATGTAAAAATTATTCTTTTAATTATTTTTTATGTTTCCTTCTTATTATATTATCAATTTTGTATTAAAGAATAATTTTACAAAGGAAAGAAACATATATGGATATATTTTGTATATAATTATATATATATATATAATTATATGTGAAACTTTTTTTTCCTTCTTAACTATAAGTTTTTAGACTGTTAACTTTAACTTAAAGTTAAAAAAAAATTAGCTTATCCAACCCTGATTAAAATACACACATATACATAGCTAACACAACTTTCGTAATATTTATTTATTTATTTTTTTATTACTTTCGTAATTTTTATATTTACTTTTTTTTTTTATATGTCGCGCATGCATGTAGTGATCGCTGGATAATCACGGGACGGTATAATCGATCGATAGATCGTAAGTACGACTTCGATATGTCGATCATGCGGCTTTTAGGTTTTGGTTAACCTTTTCCAATTTGAGTGCGCGATGATGAGTTTTTGACGTTGATTTAAAAAAGAATTGATCCTCGCGTGGTAGAATGGCGGCGTCCTTCCTCGGGAGAAGAATCGCTTTAACGCGACGGAGTTTCTTGAAAATTCCGAAGCGACACGGATATATAGTCCTGTAAGTTCCGCTTTCCGTTGTCACGTAGAGGTTAAGGGTCCACCTAACACTCGCGTGTTTCTTCAACTCCTTAACTGACAATGAGTTTTCTTATTATTTCACGTTTCTCCCGCGATAATTGCGCACACATTTTGTACTGTACTCTTTTTGTCAATTTTATTAATTACTTACGTGTTTCCATTATAATTTTGTTTTGAGATCAAATCTTATCTACGCTTTCGTATTATGCGTTTTAAATTTTCGTTTTATGTTATTTACGTAATATTTTTTTGATTATTCAATTTATTTATATATTTGTTGCCTATTTATATTGTTTATTTAATATTTCGTGCGCATCATCTGTTTGTTTATACGTTTGCATTGCGTATTATTTAATTATTTATGTAAAATAAATATATATGTCACTTGAATACATGTTTAATTTATGTTTTTAATATTTTTATATTGCCATTAAATGATTGCACTAAACTTTGTCTCAAAAATAATTTGTATAATTAAATTATTTAGAGTATATGATTATTTTATACCCTCTTTCTCAGTTTTTCTTTAATTATCTCTTTATTAGATACGTCAGTTTATTTTTTATAATTCTGTACATTACGCATCTTTTTTAATTTTATGCTTCTTTTCCACGATGTCAAGACTTCCAGAAATCGGTGAGGAATCGTCGGAGAAAAATCCTTTACTGAAGGATGACAATTTGCCAGAGTTTAACACAATTACGATCGAAAAATGTATAGCAGCTATTGGAAAACAAACTGTGGACTTTGAAGAGAAGATGAAAAGTCTGGAAAAAATAGAGTGTAAGTATTATATGTATATCAACCAAAAAATGATTTTTAAAATATTGATATTAAAAAATATTTTATATCGAGAATCTTAATTAAAAATATAATTCGGTAAGAAAATGAATTTATTTGTATTAATGCTGATAACATAATTTAATAATGTATATTATAAATTCATTATACAATTTTATAAAAATTCATTATGCAATTTTATTGAATATGAATAGACGTAATAAAAATATATATTATGAGATTTTTTTAAAATGATTTATGGCAATAATAGCAAAAAATAATGTATAATATAAAAAAAATTGTGATATGATTTTAAATCAAAAGAAACATGATCCAATGTGATTTTAATTTTGAACTTTTATAATTTTTTCCAGCGACAAAAGATTTAGATATATTTAATGATTGGTTGCATCCAATCGAGGACGCGTATCTTCCTCTAGAGACCACTTGGGGCATAGCGAAGACCTTGTACTTTGGCAATCAGAGCTTGATGCCGACGAAATGCTACGTGAATATCCACGAGCGTGCCACGAGAGCCATAGCCAGCAAATTTGGCAGCGTGCCGCTCTTCAGAGCGTGCAAGGAAGTGTTGGACAACAAGGATCTCAAATTGACGCACTCGCAGAGGAGAGTGCTCATGAAGTACGTGCTGGAGGGGACCTTGAACGGCCTGCAGCTGCAGGATAAAGAACTCGACAAGTATTCGAGCGACTTGAGCTACATCATGTCAAAAATCAAGGAGTACAAGGCGAAATACGAGGTTAGATCCGTTCTGTCACGTAATCTGGAATAGACTTGTTAGAATAATTATAACACGAACGAGTTAGATAACGAACTAACTACTATATATGAAGACTCTTTTCTACTTTATATTAAAGAAAGTAACATTATGTTTTGCTTTGTACATTGTGGGATTCTATTTTTGTTATTACAGAGTGTACTTCTTTATCAATGAACATTTGCAATTTTTATCTCGAGATGAGCGTAGCAACAAACTGAAATTTAAATTGGTCTTTTTTTTTTAGAGCTCGACAGCCGTGTACAGTATGATAGTACAGAACAAAGAGATAGTGGAGGATTTTCCGGAAGACTACCTCAAGTCCATAGCGGTTAACCCAAGGCAACCTTACATGGGTCCTTGGATGATCACTTTAAAGCCTTATATCCTGCAACCGTTTATGGGTAAAACAAACACATCCTTTGTTTTTTTTTTTTTATTAATAAAACGCGAAATTTTTAAGATCTTAAAAATTTTAATCGATTTAATATTTTTTGTCTCAATCAGAATATTGTCCTGATCGCAATTTGAGGGAGGCGATCTGGAACGCTGATGTCATCCGGTGCTCTAATTATCAGGAAAGGTCTGTTCAGGCCAGCGTGACGTTAGAGGAGCTCAGAGGAAGGAGAACCGAGCAGGCGCAACGTTTAGGATTCAAGAATTACGCGGAGATGAGTATGGAGACGAAAATGGCCGGCAGTCTGGAGAATTTACACAACACGCTAGAAACTCTTCGGCAAACAGGTAATTATTTAATTTATTATAAATGGGGAGTATAATAGAGAAACAATAATAAGTTGAACTGAATCCCCATAAATGAATAACACAAATTCGAGAACCCAGTCTATGGTCGAGGCTAAATTTAGGTGATTAATAATATTTCTATGATGAATTATAAATTAATTTTTCAATTATTTAAGCTGCGTGTCGAATTAATATCTTGCAATGCAATCATAAAGCTGAAATATAGTAAGATCGCAAAAAATGATCTTCAATTTTAATAATACAATGCGAATAAAAGTCCCTTAAAACACTACAGAGAACTTATAGAAAAATAATCGAAAATTTACTAAAGTATTTATGATAATTAATTTGTTAAAATTAATGAGAGAAAGAGAATTCGAACATTTTATTATTAATTACATTTGTTAGGAGAAATAAAATATACTTTTTATTAATATATTAAAATTGCATATGTGGATGTTATTTTAATAACAGACTAATCATTATTTTGTGTTTTTTTTTTTAGCATTGCCAGTTCAGAAACAGGAAATCGCAAATTTAACCGAATTTGCAAAGGCAAGAGATTTCAATGATACTTTAAGGGTATGGGATGTTGCATTCTGGGGTAGAAAACAACTTCGCAGCATGTACAAGTAAGTAAATCGGCATAAAAAGTATCCCACATATATAACCTTTAATACTACGTTAAAAAGTTATATTTGCATATTAAAACATTATTTTGCATTTGCAATTTAAGCATTTTAAAGTATAACTATTTGAAAGAAAATATAAAATTTTGCGCGTTGTAGAATTTAAGTATTACTTGAGATATACATTCGATATTTGTATTTGTTGAAAGTTGAAAGTCCACGACAGCGAATTTGCGATAGCGAATGTAATATCATAAAGTAACGTATTCTCAAGTACTTTAATCTAATTTCGCGCTTGTACAGTTCCGACGAAAACAAGTGGAGGGCGTACTTTCCGCTACCGACCGTCCTGTCCGGTCTCTTCAATCACATCGAGACGCTCTTCAACGTGAAGATCGTCGAAAGCAAGAAAGCGGATATCTGGCATAAGGACGTCTGGTTCTTCGACCTGTTCGACTTGAACGGATCCAGCGCGGCGCCGATCGCGAACTTCTACCTGGATCCCTATGCCCGAGGTACGCAGAAGTTCCTCAAGGAACAGCACTCGGGATGGGTGTCCACGATCAAAAGCAAGAGCAAAATCGGCAACAGCACCCCGTTGATCGCCCTGATCTTCAATTTTCCGCCACCGGTAGGCGACAAGCCCTCTCTGCTCTCCTTCAAGGACGTGCAGGTCCTCTTCCAGAAGGTAACAGGCTGTTACGTTGTTCATAAAATTACAATTGATTTATATAGTCGAGATTTGTTGACAAAATAATTAATCTTCGACGATTGTTTGCACATTGCAGTTTGGCCATGCTTTGCAACATTTGCTGACTACGATCGAGTACTCTGACATTGCTGGATTGTCGTTCGTGGAATGGGATGCGGTATTCATTTGCGATTTCTTCATGGAGAACTGGTACAAAATAAAGTTATCCCTTTATTTAATTCCATTCATTTAACTTCCTCTTTTTGTACATTTAGCACTCTTGTGTGTTGCTCATTAGTGTTGCAATTAATTAAATACGTTGATGTTTAGTGCAAAATTTAATTTTATTCGTATATTCGATGGTTACAGGCTGTACGAACCATTCATGCTGCAAAAAATCTCCGAGCATTACGAAACTGAAGAGCCACTACCCGCGGAGGCTATCGAGAGCATCAAAAGGACGAGGTCGCACCTGGCTGGCTACAAACTTTGCAAAGAGCTTTACTTATCGCACTTGGATCTGGAGCTGCATTCCAGGTGAACGTCAATCTACAACGAAATCTTTGTCGAACTAGATCCTGAATTTTTTCCTAAATTATTTAAGAGAGAAATTACCTAAAGTATTTAAGAGAAAGATAATTACATCATTTGAATATTTATACCTTATTAGATTAATGCTTACAAAATAAGCAAAATATCTGTTTATTCTCTCAATTCGACATAACTCAATAACTCGGCATTTTTTAATCGATACCGGTTTTCGCGTCGCTTAATTTTATTTGATTATTGAAAAAAAAATTGCAGCGGGACATTTTGGGTGCCCATGATGAAGCGCCTGTGGCCGAAATATTTCGTGTTACCTCTCGAAAAGAGGGACACTCACGTTTGCAACTTCGAAGCTATATGGAGCGGCAATTGGGCGGCCGCGTACTTCAGGTATTGCGGAAATATACATCGATAGTCCGATATAAATTGGCGAACTCTCGCAAGCTGACTTTGAATTTGAGATGATTATACAACTTTGGTATCTCAAATTATATGTGCGCGAGAATCTCTACTAATGAAGTAATAGAGCGGTTGTTCAATAATTATTAGCGACTCGCGCGTCGCACGAGCACTGATCGGATCTGTCGAACCGTTAAATTGCAGCAAAGTTTGGTCCAGGATGATAGCCGCCGATTTATACACGGCTTTCCAAGAGGTCAAGTCCGACGAGTCGCAGCAGAAGGAGTTGGGCGCGAGGTTCCGCAACACGTTCCTGTCCTTGGGCGGTAGTTATCCCGCCGCCGAGGTGTTCAGGAAGTTCAGGGGAAGAGATCCGAGCCCGCAGGCGTTACTGGATAATCTCGGATTAACGCGAGCGACGAAGGAAACCACCAAGTGATGCGATTATGCGACTAGAATAGAGTACTACTCTTCGAGGAGTAAGAATAATGTCAATCCTGTAAGTATAGTAACGGGGGTGCTGTTACTTGGATCTGTACGCAATGTGGATCCAAGAAATTTAATTGAATTGTGAGGCGATCGAATTACGCAATAAATTATTAGATACTTGTAAAATATTGTACTAAAAGAAACTGCGAATTTTTTGTTTTGTTTAAATTAAAGTGATATACAAAGATTAAGTAATTCGATAAATAGAAATGTTTAGTGTATTATAAACAAATCTTCTTTTTCTTTAGTATCGTATTTTTAAAATAAAATGCTTACTTTCCCACCTCTCTTCCGCCCTAAACATAGACATATGCTAGGATAAATAGTTAATATTTCTTCAAGAAGAAATTCAGTTAAATTTGATTAATGCACCCTTAATTGTTTATTATTATCTCTATACATATAATAATTTTTCTTGTTGATCGAAAGCAGTACTTATCGTGTACCGATAAAGTAAGCGTTGTATATCTCTTTCTAGATTAGTTCGTTCGATTAATCAAAGATGATAGTGGCATCGCGAATCTGCAATTAATATTCGGGAGAATTCACTTAATTTATTATCATCTAGACAGACCGCCAACGTAAAATAACTCGCGATAATAAATTCGTTTATTAAAGAAAAAGAAGCATTAAATTTCAATAAAAAAAAAATGATACAAGCCGGACAGAATTATCGCAAGGCAATTAAAGTAGCGAGTAAACACGAGATATGTGGGACTCGATAAACAAGACGTATCAATTTCCTGGAATCTGCTATCTGCTTCTTTGCGAACGGAAGGTTGCAGCCTCCTTGAATAATATGTAGATATGCTTTACATTCATTCCTGGAAAACGTTTTTTCACAGTCTAGTAATTATTATAGCAATTATCGGACTGTTAATTACTATATTCTACAAACTGTCCCGACGGAGAGACTTAGGGTCATTAAATTTTAATTAATTTAGGACCCTGTTTTGTAATCGAAAATGATAAATATTATCATCGAACGACTGTCAGTGAACAACTTTTCCTTTTTATAAATGATAATTGTTATTTATTAAGAACAAAATGTTTACCTCTCTATAGCTGTTGAGTTTACGACATTTTTATCGCTGTTTTGTTGTTATGAAAAAGTTCTTCGTTAATGACAATTATTTATGTATGTTGTTAATGTATTCATTTTCAATGTAATTTAATTTCAATCTCTGTTTAATTTACTTTTTATCTTTTTCTTAGAACTAAAAATTCTGAGAAGTAGAGAAATTTATAAAAAGCTAAGTTGTAAACCGAGATTAAAATTCATGGAAATGGATGAAAAGATCGCAGAGAGACTTGAGACCCTTGCAGAAATTTAATACTGGAGGGAGGATCAAATAATTACATATTTTAATTATTAAAAGCACTGTTCGTTAATATTTTTAATATTCAAAATAAATATAATTATTTGACCCTTTCAGTGTTAAATTTCTGAGTAATCGGCGATTATCTCAAATTATTGAAGGAGAAGATTTTCAACTGTACAATTAATTTTTTCTAGTCTTTCCTTTCGCGCGGCGAACAACAAATGAGATTGACAATACAAATCAACGAGACACCACGGATGTTACACTACAAATCCTACAATCATCGATTAAATTAATCGCTATAATCAGTCCTGGAAACACTTCCTTCGTCTCGAAGGGCCGACACCAGATAGACGATCGACGATATCCCGACAGGATCTGGTTTCGTTCTCGTTCTGAGATTAACTGCTTAATTAACAGCCACGGACAGGCCGGGTTTTTCCGCACGTTTTTATCGCGCTCGCTACCTAACTCGTCGTCGCCGTTCGACGCGCGACCTTATTCACACCCGTTATACATTACGGCGCGGTAGGTAGGCAGGATTATGAGTCACCTTCCCGGCATGAATACTAAATGCCTCGGCTGCATCATTATCAGGCGTCGCACGTGCAAAATTTATTTATGAGCTCGTTAATCATGCTTATTTATAGCGAGCTCATTTATTTACTGTGTCAATTCTTTATAGGACAATCAAATTCGCTTCGTCGTTACGGGAATCCTAAACTTGTTATCGTGGAAAAAGTTGTACACAGATCCGAGCTACGCCTGTAGCTTGGTAAACTGTGTTCCGGAGAAACCGCGAAAAAAGAATTGCGAGAAAATTAACAGCAACAAAGATATATTAAAAAAATTCAAATCATTAGCTTAATAGAAGGGCTGTGCAAATCAGACGCAGTCAGTGGTGCGCGAAAATTCGTTAATATAAAATTGTCTTTAATTAAAATTCATAAACACAAAAATATATGTAAAATTAGGGCAGAATCAGAAAGGGAGGATTGTTCCTTAAAGGAACAATCAGAGAGAGAGAAAAAAAAGAAAATAATGACCCATAAAAAAATCCAATTAAAATCAAAATGGAATAAGCAAAAACGATATCGTTCAGAGATAGAGAACGAATTACTTATGTTCGAAATTCATGTTCGAAGTCTCTCTATCGCGCGCCGACTTTGCTCCGATTTTAATTAAAATCCCTCTGCATTATCTCTTTAATTTCAACTTCGACATCCGGGCGACAGCTCGTGTCGCATCTTTTGGACGCGGAGGTTTTATTCAAGCAGCTGCGTGTGGTATACACGAGAGCTGGAAGGGTGGCTTTAGGCCGAGGAGCGAAATACGAGATCGTGGAGCTTCTTCATTCGGATACGAGACTGACGCGCAACTTGGCGAATGCGCGCGACCGAGCGCGAGAGAGTCGTGCCGCTAACGCTGACGCGTCGCCGTCGTCCGTCCGTCTCGTCGCGGCGCGCTTTTCGCTACCGCGCGCCGTGCAAGAGAGAGAGAGAGAGAGAGAGAGAGAGAGAGAGAGAGACGGGGCAAAGTGACCGCGAGAAGCTTCCCGGAATGCACATACACATACACACACATACGCGCGTGCAAACGCGCAACGAGTGCACCAGACTGTCTAATCGCGCCGAGAGAGACCGCGAAAGGAGATTTCGACGAACAGAGAAGCCAGAATCCGTGCTTCTTCAAGCATGATGACGCGCGTATATATACCTCTCTCTCTCTCTCTCTCTGTCTTTTTTCGCTCATGCGGCATCATATCTTCTTATACCGGGTGTCCCGCCAACGTTGCAAGGTTGTATTTATGTATAAAATGCGTAGGAGCGCGTACAAATAAATACGTGCATTAAACGCCGCAGATGAGACAGGCGAGCCAAAATCTTGGCGCAGATTTGCCGAAATATTAGCGCGTGAGTAACTCAGAACTTCCGACAGTTTCACCATCCCGCGGTTTCGTATACGTATATGAGAGATCGCCGCGCGAGATTAGATATAAATAACGACTCACGCGCGATATTGAAGCAATCGAGGAAAAAAGAAAAGTGCGATTTTCTATTTTTGAAATTGCCGGTCATGATGCAAGAGTATCTATAAGACGCGATCGATGCGCGTCTAGATTTCGCAGAGATGTGCACCGAAATTGGTGCACAACGTCAAGGCAGTTTGCATTTTTGCGGCGTCCTGCAGTCAGGTCACACATTTGTATTTTATTCTACTTTTGTATTTTTGTATTTTTTCTTTGTATTTTACTTTTCTTTCGTATTTGATTGATAAGAAAAATTGCAGTTCGTGACACAGTTGTTCAGCAGTTTGCGTGTAAAATACGGAGATCTTCTAATGGAAGTTTATTTCGAGAATGACTTCTATGGAAAATAAAGTTTTTTTTTTGTAAGAAATAATTCATTCTGCATATTTGGACTTATTTTCGCATGAGATTATTAATATTAGTTTTTCGCAATAACTTTGGGCGTTCTCTCTTTATGTAATGAAATTAAAAATAGTTTTTCCATTAATAGCAAATCACTTTTATTCCTAAATCACATATTTTGAAACTTGCGTCTGAAAATTAAAAAAATATGCAGTATTGAAACTTGCAAAATTGTAAACTTATAATAAATGATAGCGTTTTCCATTGTTCTGTAATTCTGTTTGCAAGCATTAAGGAATGAGAATCTCGACAAAATTCTTATAACAAATTACCTCCAATTTCATTTTGAATACTGCAGAATTACATAGATATTAATATAATAATAGATATCTAAATTATGTGTATCTAATATATAATTTGTGGTATCATTGAAGTTTTAATTCTAGAAAGTCGTTGCTCAAAAATTCAACTTGGAGTGTCGGAGAAGTTTGAAATACGACAGGAAGTACATATTAAAAGAGTTTATTTGTATTGTTAATTTTTGAGTTTATATTTTGCGTTAAGCACTCCTGGCACATGTAAAAACGTAAAGCAATAATCTCTTCTCAACTGTGATTGACCAATTCATTTACTGCTTATGTCTTACTATACTTAACGTTGTTTTTTTTTGCTACGATCCGCTTGATGCTGCAAATGCTCGGAGCATTTTTCGATTGATCAATTAGTGGAAAATCTTTTTTTTGATTGATCAATCAAATGCTTTGGCGCATTTGTATAGCGTCAGGTAAAACTAACTCTCTATTGTTGATTTTTACCAACGTAGATTAACTTTAATCTCGATTTAACTTATTGTTAGTTTTTATCTCCTTATATATAGATCTGAGAATTAGAAAAAGACAGAGAGTAAATTAAACTGAAATGAAAGTTGATCTATTATCAATGGAAATGGGCCTATATGTGCCAATGAATTTACACCGGTTCGCGCTCCAATTTTCGCGTACTCTCTCAAAATCGCTCCTCGCGATCGCCTCGCGATTACACCGCGGCAATTTGATCGCCGCATACGTTTTCCATTCCGATTCTCGTCGGTAATTTTGTCTATTTATAAGACAAACTTTCGTTCTCGCGGGCCCGCTTGTCGCCGCGCTTGTGTATAAACACGCGCCGCTCCGCCGCCGCCGCCGCCGCCGCCGTGCCGGCCGGCCGGCCGGCCGGCGCACCGCTGGCCCGAAGACGGCCGAGCGACGCCGAGGTCGCCCGAGGCGGCGTGAGGCAACAGGCGGCTCGTTTCAAACGGCAGGTGGGGAGAGTCAGTCGAATCGCGCGCGTCAGTGAGTCGTCGGGGTTCGTGGCGCGAGCATTGTCTCCGTGTTTCTCGGTTATACCCGCCGCTGTCTCTTCACGTCGCGCAAGTGTTGCCCTCCGTGAACCTACCTACGTGAACGCGCGTTCGCGCGCGCGCGCGCGAGAGTGAGAGAGAGAGAGAGAGAGATTTCCCATCGCTCTCCCATCGTGGTCCGAAACGAACGAGGGGCTAATACACGCGGCGCTTCGGACAAAGCCGTTGTGAGCCGCCTCGCGCAAATATTAGCCGAGTGCCAGAGAAGCCGTGTGCCCTCTGTCGTGACTCGAGAAGGCGGGCGAAGATATAGCTCGCGGAGAGAAACTTCGAAGTTGGCGATCGCGCGCGCCGAACACCGACAGGGAGAGAAAGGAAAGGAAGCTCTCTCTCGTCGTCGCGCCTGACGTTTCGAGTGTTTGACGTTCCCAGGTAAACGCGCTCCGCAAAACGCTCCGTGTTTGACGGCAAACACACACCGCCGGAGGACATACGCGCTCCTCCTCCTCCTCCTCCCCTTCGGTCGTCGGGAGAATTCCGAGAGGAAAAAGAGAGAGAGAGAGAGAGAGAAAAGGAGAAAGAGGTATATTTTTTACGCCGGTGAGATACGAGCTCGGGCTTCCGCGAATTCTGAAATCTCTCGTCCTCCTCCCCTCTCCCCCCCCCCTCGCGCCCCGTTCGTCTTCAGCGCGCGGGATTCGAATCGCGTGGAGCGCGCAGGCAACTTCGCGGCGCGCGAATCGTCCCCGCGCTCGCCGCCAACTTCACGGCAGTTGCCCGGCGGATTTCGAGGTGGTTCGACGGACGCGCGAAGATCCGCTCGCAGATCGCGGTTGAGAAAGAAAGAGTGTATGTGTGATCAGTACTTACTGTGGCCCCTCTTGCGGAGCACACGGCGGGGGCTCGCATGACGCGGACTTGCGGCTCGATGGCGCTTCGACGGTGCGCGAATTGTATAAGTGAGAGCGTAGCGACGAGGCGCGCGGTCGCGAATCCGACGCGGTGTCGCTCGTGAATCCCCCGTGAGTCGCGGAGTCAACTGTCTGCGCGTCGAACTGTGCGGAAGGTCTCGGAGGCACGCACGAGGCCGGTGGAGTCATCATCGCCGCACCGCATTGTCGTCGTGGGCACCTCGACACCGCGGTAAAAAACGAAAAACGTCGTCGTCGCGAAGTCCGCGCGCGGTGACATCGCCGGACGGCGACGGGACACCGGGCGGACGTCCGCCGAATCTCTCCGCGGTCGCGAGTGATTCCGTGTGGTTTTCGATCGATCGAAACGAGGTCATCGAGGTCGGCGTAAAGTGTTTGTTTTTTTTCCTTTATACGGCAAAGTGCGCGCTACGTATAATGACGAGCGCGAAGATGAGAATGTCGGCGGGCGAGCTGCACGCCGTCGTCGCGCTCGCGATATTGTCGACGATCAGCCACGGCAATGAGATTAAGGATTACTGCTCGATACACAAGTACGACAATCTGCCGGGCGGCCTGGGCTTCACGAAGGAGGTCGTCACCATGGAGTACGCGAACGTGGGCGCGTTCAAGGCTCTTCACTGCTGCCTCAGGGGATACAGGAGCATCGAATGGTGAGTCCTGCTGGCACGCTGCGCTCCGTCCTTTCGCGTATACTTATATATATATATATATATATATACACGTTGCGGAAACGAAACTCCCGGGGTGTCTCGCGTAAGAATTGCATTGTGACGAAAATTTGAGCACCTTGGAGGAAGTGGTGAAAGTAGCACAGCAATGGAAATTGAAGTACGCGAGATGTAACTTTATGAAAAGCGACGAAGGCATTGATATAATATAAAGCGACCAAGATTTACGGCAATTTCTATAGTAGAATATTTTTATCTGAAATGAAGAGTCCGAATTTTATCCAAGGATTTAATTAAATAAAATCCTGTTGTGTCATTTTATAATTTGACTTTTAAAAAATATAACTTTAAAGTGCAACTTTATAAAATGCTTCTTTTACCATTGCTGCAATTCTCAGTATTTTCTTAAATGAATGAAATATATTAATTTTTTCGTGACTCTTTAGTCAATTTCAATTGTAATTCATATTACATCAAGAATTCTCGTTTGAGACATTTTCTCTCAAATGTATTTGAATTTTCATTCGGACAATGTAAGGAATATCGTTAATGTTTTATGTACGTATTGCGTGTGTTTGTGATATATAAGTCACTAATATATAAGAAACGGTATATTAATGACTCAGAAAAATAAATCTCTCTTTTCCACAAGACACCACGTCATGTAATAATATAATTTATTTATAAGGAAGACAAAAAAACTGCTTAAATAATATATTAGCTCTCGGATAGAAACTCGAATAGAATAATACGGCCGATGTCCTATAAATCTCTGGTTAACCTTCTACTCAAACTTTTTTTTAATGACTCTTTAATCCAACCCCAGTTTTATACCTCAATTATTCTTTAATACTTACAATTTATTATACTTAAGAATTATATACGTCGCCTAACCCGAAACTGAATGATCTCTAATGATTTATTAAGAAAGATAAAATTCAGGTTACTTAAAATAATATATTGGCTCTCGTTGGCTTAATAATTTATTAATACGCTCAATTCTATGTAAATATCCGATTGCCCTTTACTCAACTTTGTTGACCGACTCTCTGATCTAATTTCAATTTTATATTTCCTAATTATTCTGTAATACTTTCAATTTATTCAAGAATTATATATATAATTCGCAGAATAATTCGAGAAACTGAATCTCTGCTGAATAATTTATTCATAAGAAAGACAAAAGCTACTTAAGATAATAAAATATTTATTATTCCTTGGATAGAATAAAAAAAAACAAACTCGAATAAAACGTTCTATAAATTTCTGATTATTTTCTAGTCAAATTTTGTTTTTAGCGACTCTTTAATTCAATTCGAATTTTTTATTTTCTCAAATACTTTCAATTTATTTGGGAATCATGCCTTCAATAATTCGTAAACAATTCGACGGGAAGGATTTCGCCTTGCCGCGGATCTTCTTCGCGCGGTTTGAGAATCCCTGTCGCACTGCGTAATATCCTTTCCCTTCTTCGCGTTTCTTTCGCGGAGCGCGAATGCTCTTGCTCGTTCTCCACCGTCCCGAGAGCATTTTGCTCGTCCCTTTATTCGCGCACGACCCGATGGGTGATAAATGCGAATGAAAACGAATCGCGAGGACTGCTTTCGGCACAAAAGCTGCCGCTCGCGCGCGCGCGGAGAGCGTTCGCATTATGCGAATGACATTTTCCTTTTAGCGCGCAAGGTATTTCCCTCATATCTGAAGCACCTGCTTACAGATATCTCCTGTTATCGTCGCGCGCGCGCGCGCGACACGTATCGATAACCCTTTCACGCTACCGAGACACGTTGCGCGGGCCGACGCTATAAAATGAGTCCCCGAGAACCCGTGAGTCTTAGGGCAAGGAGCACTCTCCTCACTCACAATCAGACTTCTTCTCTCTCGCGCCTCTCAGCCACCCAATTTTTTATCGTCGACAGTTGAGTCTCAAATAAAAAAAGTGCAGTTGTAAGTAAATTAGGAATTTAGTTATATTAATTTGAGAAATTTAATTGAAAAAATAAATATGTAGATAAGAAGTAAGTAAATTAGGATTTTAGTTACGATAATATGGGAAATTCAATCGGCGAAAAGGAAAGAGTTGTTTTCGTCGATCAGAGGCCGTCGATCTATTAAAATAGATCTAATAAGACGGAAAATTTTATAGGAAACGCCGGACTTAACTGTTTCGGACTTCAGCTGTTTCCTTCAGAATGTTTCGGGCTAATTACCGATTTGCGCTTTGACACGTTCGAAACCCGGAATCAATTCAGGAATTCCTCTCCAACAAAGTCGATCGCTTCTTCTTGTCCCTTAGAAAAATCCCTCAAGTGTCGCCCTTTT